GAATGATAAGCCATTGTTGCACATTTATCCCTAACAACACCACACTGGATGGGACAGCCACCAGAGCTCTTGCAGAATTAACTGCACTAAGTGAAGAATGAACTGAGAACTCAGAAGTTAGTACATCGTGGATAGGGTGGTTTGATGAAATGTTTGGTAAATGGAAAACCATAGCAGCCACCATCTTAGGGGCGGTCAGTGTTTGTATGGGTATTCTTGTATTATGTGGTTGTTGTCTTGTTCCCTGTCTCCGAGGATTGGTGAGTAAGGCGTTGGTGAAATGCAGTATCTCAACAATGATGAGAGATGGACCGACTCCGGACTCTGACCAGGGGAATGTGAAAAACGATCCTCCAGGCTTGGTGGATGACGAGGATTTTGACCCTGAAAGACCGCAATTGGATGAAATGTTTATTATTATTCTGCCGTAATCTCTGAAATTAATCATGCTTGTAAATACATTTATCCTGAATGTGAAAACATTTAGTCAAAGGGGTGGATTGATAGATTAATTTGTATTTTAAGAATAATGACTAAAGGATTTCGCCCCAAATACAGTATAAATGTGTGAACGGTGTTAGAGTTATAATGTAGTGTCAGCCCACTAACAGAGGGGGGAAGTTAGAAACTGTTGAGGAAGCATTCCAGGGTAAAGGGGACTAAGAAACGGTTTAAAGGTGGGCGGAGCAAAGTGCCTTTGTGTGTCAAGGGATATAAAAGCTGTATGTATGTTTTTTGGCGCCAGAGCTCTCCATGATTAAAACATACAGATCATTCTTGTTGGTTGCGGACCTTCGTTTAATTCATGATTAAAACCAGAGCCTTACACCCTTTGGGAATTATTCAAAGCATTACGTTTGATTAATTAGAGATAGAAATTCTTGTGACAGTGTGAAAGAGTAGGATTTAGGTGGAGTCATTAACAGATTTTCCCAATGGATTCGGGGTAAGCCTCATAGCTTAGCCTTAGACCCAGGCCTGCTTACCAGATATTTCATTGGACAACAGTATATGTATGTTAAGCCCTCCCTGTTTGTCTCTGAGCTCAGAGATGGATATCTGAGCTCAGAGATGGATATCTAGAGAAGAAAATACATCCTGGATATTTGGATATGAAACAGAAAGAAGGATGGAGGGATGGAGAAAGAAAAATAGATTTGTGGGACCCAACTCAAATCTCACGAAAATTTGGAAAAGGGATAATTTAGTGAGAGTTGCTGCTATAACAGCCTCCACTCTTCTGGGAAGGCTTTTCACTAGATGTTGGAACATTGCTGCGGGGACTTGCTTCCATTCAGCCACAAGAGCATTAGTGAGGTCAAATCAAATCAAATCAAATTTGATTGGCCACATGCGCCGAATACAACAGGTGCAGACATTACAGTGAAATGCTTACTTACAGCCCTTAACCAACAGTGCATTTATTTTTAATAAAAAAGTAAAATAAAACAACAACAAAAAAGTGTTGAGAAAAAAAGAGCAGAAGTAAAATAAAATAACAGTAGGGAGGCTATATATACAGGGGGGTACCGGTGCAGAGTCAATGTGCGGGGGCACCGGCTAGTTGAGGTAGTTGAAGTAATATGTACATGTGGGTAGAGTTAAAGTGACTATGCATAAATAATTAACAGAGTAGCAGCAGCGTAAAAAGATGGGGTGGGGGGGGCAGTGCAAATAGTCAGAGTAGCCATGATTAGCTGTTCAGGAGTCTTATGGCTTGGGCACTGATGTTGGCCGATTAGTCCTGGCTCGCTGTCGGCGTTCCAATTCATCCCAAAGGTGTTCGATGGGGTTGAGGTCAGGGCTCTGTGCAGGCCAGTCAAGTTCTTCCACACCGATCTAGACAAACCGAGCAAGATTTACACCACTCCAGCCGAAGGTTGACATTGCGCATGGTGATCTTATGCTTGTATGCGGCTGCTCGGCCATGGAAACACATTTCATGAAGGTCGGGTTTCAGACTGGAAACAAAGGGATTCAAATAAGGCCTTATGAAATACGTGTAGTATTGTGTTAAATATTTTTGTTGTTGTTGATAATGTTTACTTAGGATCTCACTTGGGGAAGTCCTTAGGACAGAAAATGGATGAATGCAACAACCATGTGTCTGTCACTAACAAATACTGTCATGGGTGGTAATGCTACAATTTACTCGAAAGGCAAAGCACTCTGGGAAATATTTGAATAACGCTTTACACTAAGCAATGTGTTAATTTAACACTGTTCACTATATCAGTCCACAGACTCAACACTATCAGTGTTATTTATTTTTCTAAGACTGGAGAATTGGCTGTGTGTGTATATGTTTTAGCCTCTCTCCCCATGTAGGAGCTAATCCTGGATGTTTGTTTGGTGATTACTGACAAATCTGCTGCTCTCTCAGAACCACTGTTTGGTTTCCATGGACTGTCAGACCAATAGGGCTGTCCCTTAGTCGGAGTCCCAGACCTGTTTGAGCCAACTACTATGTCTTGTTGTGATAATGTTCCACCATAAACTTAGATAGACATGGTATCATTGTATCTGTCCCATTATGGAGTCTGTGAGAGCAGGGGCAGGGTCATTGAGGTCATCTCCATTTTGAAGTAGTCAATTGTCTTCTTCTGCTACTTCTATGAGTTGGCAAACAAACTGAAAGGGTGCACACTGCCATCTACAGGGTGTTGTTTGAACAGGTATAAAGCCAAGGTTGGTGATTTACTGCCACTTGCAGTTTTGGAATGTTTACTTACGAGTATAATTCATTGGCTGATCCCTCCTGATGACCTGGATGGATGTGATTCTTCCTTAACCCATAGGAAGTCCCACCCAGTAGCCTACTCCAAAATGGTGAAAGTCCTCAATGGCGCTGCCAATGCTAAATCAAGCTCTTGGGCATTAGAGTCCTCTATCATTCTCTATGGCCGAGACAAGCCCTCCTGAGCAATACTGCTCTGGTTCCTCAGTGTAGGAAGAACCAGGCCAGAACACTATAGCTCAGATGGCTTGGCTGGAACCATGCTAGAAAGGACAATGTGAAAAGCGGAGCCAGAACAGTACAGTTCAGGTCGGTACAATAGTGTAGAAATAATAGTGTATATGAATTTACCCGATCCTTACAGTGCATTCGGAAAGTATTCAGACCCCTTGACTTTTTTCCACAATGTGATACGTTACAGCCTTATTATAAAATTAATACAATTATTATTTTTCCTCATCAATCTACACACAATACCCCATAATGACAAAGCGAAAACAGGTTTTTAGATATTTTTGCAAATGTATTAAATCTAAAAAACAGAAATACCTTATTTACATAAGTATTCAGAGTCTTTGATATGAGACTCGAAATTGAGCTCAGGTGCATCCTGTTTCCTTTGATAATCCTTGAGATGTTTCTACATTTTAGTCATTTAGCAGATGCTCTTAATAGAGCGACTTACAGTTAGTGAGTACATACATTTTTTCATACTGGCCCCCCTTGGGAATCGAACGCACAATCCTGGCGTTGCAAGCGCCATGCTCTACCAACTGAGCTACACGGGGCCCCAAATTGAATGGAGTCCACTTGTGGTCAATTCAATTGATTGGACATGATTTGGAAAGGCACACACCTGTCATTATAAGGTCCCACAGTTGACAGTGCATGTCAGAGCACAAACCAAGCCATGAGGTCAATGGAATTGTCCGTAGAGTTTCGAGACTGTGTCAAGGCACAGATCTAGGGAAGGGTACCAACACATTTCTGCAGCATTGAAGGTCCCCAAGAACACAGTGGCCTCCATCATTCTTAAATAGAAGAAGTTTGGAACCACCAAGACTCTTCCTAGAGCTGGCTGCCCGGCCAAACTGAGCAATCGGGGGAGAAGGGCCTTGGTCAGGGAGGTGACCAAGAACCCGATGGTCACTCTGACAGAGCTCCAGAGTTCCTCTGCGACGATGGGAGAACCTTCCAGAAGGACAACCATCTCTGCAGCACTCCACCAATCAGGCCTTTATGGTAGCGTGGCTAGACGGAAGCCAGTCCTCAGTAAAAGGCACATGACAGCCCGCTTGGAGTTTGCCAAAAGGCACCTAAAGACTCTCAGACCATGAGAAACAAGATTATGAAACCCAGATTAAACTCTTTGGCCTGAATGCCAAGCGTATCGTCTGGAGGAAACCTGGCACCATCCCTACGGTGAAGCATGGTGGTGGCAGTATCATGCTGTGGGGACGTTTTTCAGGGGCAGGGACTGGGAGACTAGTCAGGATCGAGGGAAAGATGAACGGAGCAAAGTGGCTTCGGGACAAGTCTCTGAATGTCCTTGAGTGGCCCAGCCAGAGCCCAGACTTAATCCCGATCGAACATCTCTGGAGCAACAACGCTCCCCATCCAACCTGACAGAGCTTGAGAGGATCTGCAGAGAAAAATGGGAGAAACTCCCCAAATACAGGTGTGCCAAGCTTGTAGCTTCATACCCAAGAAGACTCTAGGCTGTAATCGCTGCCAAAGGTGCTTCAACAAAGTACTGAGTAAACTGTCTGAATACTTACGTAAATGTGATATTTCCGTTTTTAGTTTTTATTACATTTGCAAAAATTTATAAAAACCTTTTTTTGGTTTGTCATTATGGGGTATTGTGTGTAGATTGATGAGGGGAAAAAAAACTATTTAATCCATTTTAGAATAAGGCTGTAACATAACAACATTTGGAAAAAGTCAAGGAGTCTGAATACTTCCGAATGCACTCTATGTGGTGCTCATTGCTATAGGATCCAGGAGTTTTCCCTGGCCGTGTGCAATGCTCTTCACCAGGAAAAACTCTGGGCCTTAGTTAGTGTATACAGTACTGTGTCATGGCCCAAGTGTATCCCACCACCCTTAGTGTATACAGTGCTATTTGATGGCTTTAGGTGTATCCCACCACCCTTAGTTAAACTATGTGATGGCTTTAGGTGTATCCCACCACCCTTAGTTATACTATGTGATGGCTTTAGGTGTATCCCACCACCCTTAGTTATACTATGTGATGGCTTTAGGTGTATCCCACCAGGCGTGGGGTGCTGGGGAAGCTCTTCCTCATGCCCATGCACTTCTCCTGATCCAGGAACAGGGACTTAGCCTTGATGGACAAGTCATGGTCCAGGGCATCCTTGGTCTTCACCAACGTCTGTAGGGTGATCTCTGCCTCCATCAGCCTCTCACGCAGCTTGTGGATGGTGTCCTCTATCTCCCTCACTTCTCCCACCAGTCTGGAGATAGGGACAAGGACAGGGACAGAGACAAGGAGTCAGATTGAAGAAGAGGTAAACAGAGGAGAAGGGAAGGAATGTAAGTGTAAAACATACAGGCTATAAAATACCTACACATGTCCGAGCCCTACCTTTGGTGTGGGTTATCCCTGCAGAGCTCCAGCCTGGTCTGGGCCACCTTCAGGGGGCACTCCTTGTCACTCAGGGCCTTCTTCAGGCTATCTATCAGCATCTCTGTCTGGAAGATCTCCTGGAGGGTCTGTAAAGAGAAGCAGGGGAAAGGGATGGTTAGACGATCCAGGGAGTAAGGAAACAGAGGAATTTGAGTGGTTTAGGAGGAGAGCAGTTATAGCGGTTGAAATTACACTACCGATCAAAAGTTTTAGAACACCGACTCATTCAAGGGTTATTCTTTATTTTTACTATTTTTTACATTGTACAATAATAGTGAAGACATCAACACTATGAAATAACACATATGGAATCATGTAGTAACAAAAAACGTGTTAAACAAAACAAAATATATTTTATATTTGAGATTCTTCAAATAGCCACCCTTTGCCTTGATGACAGCTTTGCACACTCTTGGCATTCTCTCAACCAGGAATGCATTTTAATTAAAAGGTGTGCCTTCTTAAAAGTTAATTTGTGCCAATCAGTTGTGTTGTGTCAAAGTAGGAAGGTATACAGAAGATAGCCCTATTTGGTAAAAGACCAAGTGCATATTTTGGCAAGAACAGCTCAAATAAGCAAAGAGAAACAAAAGTCCATCATTACTTTAAGACATGAAGGTCAGCCAATACGGAACATTTAAAGAACTTTGAAAGTTTCTTCAAGTGCAGTCGCAAAAACCATCAAGCGCAATGATGAAACTGGCTCTCATGAGGACCGCCACAGGAATGGAAGACCCAGAGTTACCTCTGCTGCAGAGGATAAGTTCATTAGAGTTACCAGCCTCAGAAATTGCAGCCCAAATTAATGCTTCACAGAGTTCAAGTAACAGACACATCACAAAATCAACTGTTCAGAGGAGACTGTGTTAATCAGGCCTTCATGGTCAAATTGCTGCAAAGAAACCACTACTAAAGGACACCAATAATAAGAAGGGACTTGCTTGGGCCAAGAAACACAAGCAATGGACAATAGACTGTTGGAAATGTGTCCTTTGGTCTGGAGTCCAAATTGGAGATTTTTGATTCCAACCACTGTGTCTTTGTGAAACGTGGTGTGGGTGAATGGATGATCTCCGCATGTGTATTTCCCACCGTAAAGCATGGAGGAGGAGGTGTTATGCTGTGGGGGTGCTTCGCTGGTGACAATGTCTGTGATTTATTTAGAATTCAAGGCACACTTAACCAGCATGGCTACCACAGCATTCTGCAGCGATACGCCATCCCATCTGGTTTGGGCTTAGTGGGACTACCGTTTGTTTTTCAACAGGACAACGACCCAACACACCTCCAGGCTGTGTAAATGTTATTTTACCAAGAAGGAGAGTGATTGAGTGCTGCATCAGATGACCTGGCCAACAAAAAGCGTGGGAACTCCTTCAAGACTGTTGGAAAAGCATTCCAGGTGTAGCTGGTTGAGACAATGCCAAGAGCGTGCAAAGCTGTCATCAAGGCAAAGGGTGGCTACTTTGAAGAATCTCAAATATAAAATATATTTTGATTGGTTTAACACTTTTTTGGTTACTACATGATTCCATATGTGTTATTTCATAGTTTTGATGTCTTCACTATTATTCTACAATGTAGAACATAGTAAAAATAAAGAAAAACCTTTGAATGAGAAGGTGTTCTAAAACTTTTGACCGGTAGTGTACATTGTTAAAACCAGTTTACAACCGGAACTATAATCTGGTTGTAATCTTGTTGTAATCTGGTTATAATCTGGTTTTAATCTGTTTGTAATCTGGTTGTAATCTGGTTATCATCTGGTTGTCATCTGGTTGTCATCTGGTTGTAATCCGGTTGTAATCTGGTTGTAATCTGGTTATAATCTGGTTTTATGCTCTGGACGTCATTGCAACCAGTTTTGCCCGCCAGGTAAGGGTTTGAGGTAAAGAGTTCTAGGAAACTCAAATAAACGTATTGATTTGTTGATTTACCGCACACAGTCAGGTGATGTGACATTTCTAGTCACAATGAATACAGAAACAGGTGTCTGTAAAAGCAAAATCAACACCAACTGTAACTTTAAATCAAACTTTAGATCAATTCAGATGAATACTGTACTGTATACAGTACCCTCCTCCTTCTCATCCCACCATCACATTACCATGTAATTTCATTCCCCTGAATCACTCTACCACTCCTCAGAACCATCACTATCTGACTGACTAGCTGGCTGACTGGCTATATTAAAGACTGAGTGCCTCACATCATAGCTGCTGTCAATTGATAAGACCAGAGAACTGCTGAGGTGGATAGAGCCCAGCAACCTCCAATTAACCCTTTAATGACAATGGGCTCCAGTGTCCACTACTCCACTACCCAGGGTATGTATCAGTGGAAAGTGATGAACACAGGCAATGCAAGATATGTCTATTTTTGGTGTCCCTCTTTTGACAAGACTATTAGCTTAGCAGTAAACAGAGTTTGGTGAGTTACATTGCATGCCTGGCTTCCATAACACAATTACAGTGCATATAAGGCCTAGACCAGTGGAGAGGGTGATCATTCAACAACACTCACATGGTCTTCGTCTGCATGTCTCTGCCCATTAAACACTGATCTTGTTAGTAAAAGGGTATGAAAGGAGTTTTCTTTTTCTCCTCATTAAACAGAAAAAGCAATTTGATAATAATAAACCTTTGTTCTATACTCCTGAGTGGCGCAGTGGTCTAAGGCACTGCATCGCAGTGCTAACTGTGCCACTAGAGATCCTGGTTCGAATCCAGGCTCTGTTGCCGCCGGCTGCGACCGGGAGACTCATGGGCGGCGCACAATTGGCCCAGCGTCGTCCAGGGTAGGGGAGGGAATGGCCGGCAGGGATATAGCTCAGTTGATAGAGCATGGCGTTTGCAACGCCAGGGTTGTGGGTTCGATTCCCACGGGGGGCCAGTATAAGAAAAATATGTATTCACTAACTGTAAGTCGCTCTGGATAAGAGCGTCTACTAAAATGTAAAATGTTCTCTATTGTCATAAACAATGTCACAAAAATGCAATAATAGTTTGAGACAAATCAAAGACAGTAGGCAAAACTCAACAATAATCAACTATGGTATGCAGGCAGTTTACCATGCCTTCCTTACTACCCCCTGGACCTGATGTTGAAGTACAATGATGTATAACAAGATACAACCAAACTGCATCTCACTGAGTTGAATGGAACTGAATAGAAAAGGAACTAAAACATGAGAGATGAACCTGATGGTCATTTGTCAGGGAACCGTTAGTCACCTTAGCCAGGTGTGTCTGCAGGCTGTTCTTGGCGTCGGTGGTCTCTGACATGCGGTTGGTGAAGGCCACGTTGACTGTGTTGAACTGGTTCCACATCTTGTTGGACATGGCTTTCAGCAGGATCTTGATCTCGTCACGCAGCTTGTGGGACACCGCACGCTCGCTCTGGGAGTGAAGGATGTTGTCGTCCGTGAACTTGGACCACGAGTCGGGCAGGGAGAGGCTGGTCAAGTAGGATAATAATTACAATAAGGACTGGAAGGTGCTAAGCCAGGAGATACACAGGCGTAGTGGTTACATTTGGGATTGGGTGCTTTATATTCTGAGAACATTTAACACACCTCTGTCGATAGATAAATATCCCATTCTAATCACAAAGCTGTATAACATTAACATCTAAACTAGTGAATGGGTAGGGCCTATGACTCTTGAAGGGTCCAGTCTCTCGATCCCCCTGCCCTAAACTAGTGGGTGGGTAATACTCATGAAGGGTCCAGTCTCTCGATCCCTCTGTAGTAGCTGATCCCGTCTGACGCGTTCCTGAGATGGTGACTGAGATGGTGATCTATCCTCTGAGCTGTCACCTTGTCACTGACGTATCTCTCCAGCTCATGCTGAACTGCTCGGTTTGACCTGAGGGAAGTACAGACGTAGGATCTTAATTTGACCTATATTGTCACATTAAAATAATCCTGCAGCAAAAGGATGTGAACATTCAGGGCTCTATTCAATCAGATCTGCTTTAGCCAACATCTGCATATCGGTTGTTTTGGCAGTGTTTGAGGTGGAACTGCGTTAGACCAGACAAATCCACAAGTGGCTCCTGGCATTATACCTAAAGCGGACATTGCTATTGGCTGCACAGAGTCGTATTAAGAGAAATCACATGCAGCCTTGTTTACAAGTTTGAACACTGGAATGAGAGATGTAATCTACACCTCGATTAGGATGATAGAAATCCTCATTATTTTGTTTAATGATTTTTTTATTTATTAGCGTACTTTTTTCTATATAGCCTACACTTACTTTCTCATTCTGAACTTCTAACACGAGTGGGGTGGATGTGACTTCATGACAATGATCAAGAGCAGCTGCTCACCGATTTGACGCTCCAACACAGTTCCACCTCCAACACCGCCAAAACATCCGCTACGCGACTGTCTGCTATCGCTGGTTAACGCTTGATCTGTTTGAATCTAGGCCTTGAATCTAGGCCTTGAATCTAATGTTCCTTGATCAGTGGTTAGGCTATTAGCTGCACTGTATTAAAGGGATACTTTGGGATTTTGGCAATGAGGCCATTTATCTACTTCCCCAGAGTCAGATGAACTCGTGGATACCATGTTTCTGTGTCCAGTATGAAGAAAGTTAGAGGTAGTTTCGTGAGCCAATGCTAACTAGTATTAGCGCAATGAATAGAAGTCTATGGGTATCTGCTAGAATGCTGTGTGTGTATGGTATTGTTGTTTCTCACTCAATAACATATATATGTTTTGCATTTTCATTGTTGGACATAAAAGACTAAAAACAACAGGAAATCAGCTCCAAGTGATTTTAATTTTGGAAATCTGTTCCCAAGTATTCCCACGCATAATAGAGACACACATAATTGTATACAAATGTAAGCAAGGTTTAAAATGATTATGTTGTACTCAAATAGTATATCTGTTTGGGGTTCTTTGCGGTCAATTTGCAGTCTACAAATTATTTGTAATTATGTTCCGGCCCCCCGAGCATCCTCTCCCCCCAAAATATATGATCCCTGCTCCCTTGTAATTACAGTAAAATACTGTATAAATAATTTTCTGACACTTTAATAGTCCCTTTTACCATATTGTGCTGTGTTTCATTGCTCTGGCATCAAGTTACCGTGAATATCTTATTATTGTATTGGCACTATCCAGAGATAAAGATATCTTGTTGTAATTCAAATGATTTTGAAGACCAATGTATCCTTAATAACTACAACAACATTTCCAGTAACGGTTACAGAAACGTTTGACTTGCTATGACTTTGATATGTTTTTTTATTAACCTTGGTTGAATGCACTGACTAGGTTTCTAAGGACAAGAGCACCAACTAAATTACTAAAATGTAAATGTAAAAATGAAAACTTGCAAAGAACAGTGCATGGGTAATTCCAGTAATATGCTGTCAATTACATACAGTACCTTTTTGGGTACCTTAAAATTGATTACCGTTAAATGGATTACAGTAACTTACTGGCCAATTTCTGCCGGTAAGTTACTGTACCCTTTATAGGAAATGTTTTACGGTGTGGCCAAAAGTAGGCTACATGTAAAGTGCAGTACAGTTAATATAACCGTGCAAAGAAAAGTCTTACAAAAATGCTTTGCCTTTCGAGTAAATTGTAGAGTTACCACCCATGACTGTATTTGTTAGAGACATGGTTGTTGCATTCATCCATTTTATGTCCTATGGACTTCACCAAGTGAGATCCTAACCAAATATGTTATCATAAAAATAAAAGCTTTAACACAATACAGCTGTATTTGTAATGTTATCAGTAACTCACTGTGTTAAACAACAGTATGATAATGCATAAATTGAATACAGTAGAATACTGTAGAATGTACAATACAATACCGTGCATTTGTTTTACAGCACACTAATGCCCAGTTTCCATTGGCACTTTGAAGTCAACCCAGGTTGGACTGGCCTTGGTGGGCTAGCTCAAATTGCATTTCCACTGCCTCCAGAAAGGAGAAATTATGTAATCTTGCTAGGTAGCCAATATGTGACTGCAGCTGGCTTCACTAATGTTGCTAGCTAGCTAGCAAGATGTTGAATAATTTAATTCACCCTCACCATACTCCTGCCAGTGCCAGCCAGACTCAGAGCCATGTATCTAGCTTTATGATGTTAGCTAGCTAGCTAAATGGTTAGCGCCATCGCTAACATAACAGGCTAGCTAGCTAACTTAATTCCTACCTTGCTTGCCATTGCTTTGGCTATTAGCTTGCTAGCTAACCAAGCAATATGACAGGTTTGATATGATTTAGCTAACTTGTTTCAACTCTGATTTGCTAGCTAACATTAAGTAGCTAGCATTTGAGGGCTGAACGTTCTCATAAAATATTGTATTGCTTGTCCATGTGCTTGCTAACAAGCCCAGACGAACTAGCTAAATGTGTCAGCATCCAGCAGTGATCAGCTGGTGGTGGCATAGTAACAGCGTCACCAGCCCAAATTCTAATCGAGCTGGCACCAGTTGTGAAACTGGGCTGCGCTGGCCCGGGTTTCCCTCGACCCAGCTCGAATTTGGCCCTAATTTTAAGTGCCAGTGGAAACAGGGCTTAAGATTTTCTGTAATTTCAACAGTAAAACACTGTAGAATACACAGTAAAATTGTCACGATCGTCTAAGGAGGAGGACCAAGGCGCAGCGTTGAAGGTGAACACATTATTTATTATACTGATCACACGATCAAAACAACAGACGATAACGTGATGTCTACGGTTTAACACAAACCAAATAAGAACAAGAAACCACAAACACAAAGTGAAAAACAGACAGTAAAATATGGCTCCCAATCAGAGACAACCAGCTGACACTCGTTGCCTCTGATTGGGAGTCACTCAGGCCAACATAGAAATACAAACATAGAATTACACACCCTGGCTCAACATAACAGTGTCCCCAGAGCCAGGGCTTGACAGTACCCCCCCCTAAAGGCGCGGACTCCGACCGCGCCAACTAAATACCACAGGGGAGGGACCGGGTGGGCACTCCGCCTTGGCGGCGGATCCGGCTCCGGGCCTGATCCCCACTCCCTCTCCAACCCCCCAAAGTACCCCTGGTCCGGTCTGGCCCCGCTGGCCGGAGCTGGACTGCACACTGATGGAGCGGATTGCTCTAGCTCCGGCGTAACGCATCTGACCGGTGCCGGACCAGGCACCAGTGGAACAGGCACGGGCCGTGCCGGAACGACGACGCACACCACTGGCTTGGTGTGGGGAGCAGGAGCGGGCCGGACAGGGCTGACGATACGCACCACAGACTTGGTGCAGGGAGCAGGAATGGGCCGGACTGGGCTGGCGACGCGCACCACAGACTTGGTGCGGAGAGCAGGAACGGGCCGGACAGGGCTGACGAAATGCACCACAGACTTGGTGCGGGGAGCAGGAATGGGCCGGACTGGGCTGGCGAAATGCACCACAGACTTGGTGCGGGGAGCAGGAATGGGCCGGACTGGGCTGGCGACGCGCACCACAGACTTGGTGCGGAGAGCAGGAACGGGCCGGACAGGGCTGACGAAATGCACCACAGACTTGGTGCGGGGAGCAGGAATGGGCCGGACTGGGCTGGCGACGCGCACCACAGACTTGGTGCGGAGAGCAGGAACGGGCCGGACAGGGCTGACGAAATGCACCACAGACTTGGTGCGGGGAGCAGGAATGGGCCGGACTGGGCTGGCGACGCGCACCACAGACTTGGTGCGGGGAGCAGGAATGGGCCGGGCCGAGCTGGCGATGCGCACCGTAGACTTGGTGCGAGTGGCAGGAACAGGTCGGACCGTACTGGGAACACACACCACTGGCCCTACGTGGGGATCAGGAACAGGCCGGACCGGACTGGCAACACACGCCAGTACCTCTCGCCGTGCCTCTACATCTTCCACCCCCTCTTCGACCAGTGGCCCCCGTAACCTGGCGGCCTCCTCTGCCAATCCGCTGGGCCGCTCTGCCGCGGTCTCCTGCTGGCCCGTCGTCCACGGCGTTAGCCCCCCCCTAAAAATTCTCTGGGCTTCACTCCTACCCGTGGCCAAGGTCTCCATGTCCCTCGCCAGCCGTTCGCCCTTCTCCCACAATGTCAAGCCCTTCTCTTCCTCACTCGGCTTGACCCAGTCGAGGAGGCGAAGGAGATCTGTTAGGGATCTCCCTGGCGATGGCTCCTGGACACGCTGCTTGGTCACATCTTGGTGGTTTCTTCTATCGTGTGTTGTGCTTGTATAATATTACTTATTCGCTCGGTTGAGCTTTACTCCACTGTGTTGGAGCGTTTTACGCACATGGTTTGTGCGCCTTTTGTTTTGTCGCCTTCGTGCGTAGTTTCGCCTTCGGGCCAGTTTGTTCGATTTTTCCTTGTTGGAAATTGCACTAAAGTCTTTTGGACTATACTTCGGTGTCCTGCGCTTGATTCCACCACTACACCCACCTACAGCATTCCTGACAAGAATACTGTAAATGTGTTTAACTGTATCAATTATGGTGCATTGTGGGAAAATGTTGTGGGCGGGGAAAGAGTCTCTGACTCATTAACATATTTCAAGGCATGCGTTGTAAGAGGCTATATTTGTTGCACCCGTTAATGATAGTGCTGTATCAATTTAAGTGATTTGTAGGGTAGTGGTTCCCTGACAATTAAATGTATATAGGGAACAGATCAGTGGCAGCAAGTCTCAACCCTGAGCAGCTAGCCATGTCCTTTTGATCAATTTTACCCTGTAGTCACTGTTAGTTTAGAAGCCTTTGTTAAGGCCTAAAGTGCAAGTAATATAAAACACCAAATATCAGTTGGTATGGTGTATGTCAGTGTTGCTGTAGGTGGGTGTGGTGGTGGAATCAGGCGCAGGATGCAGAAAATAAGTCCAAAAGACTTTAGTGAATG